TGGCATAGTAAACTACTCTTATTGCTCTAGTTCTGATTTTGTTTTTCATAGTATTGGTCGATGTAATAAAACAACAAACTACGTTTATTTTTTCTTACAATTAACTTCTAAAAATTATTATTCAACAAATCATTACAATTTCAGCTTTTCTTTTGTTATGAAAATTTGCTTCCTGAATATTACATTTTCTTTCAAGATTTACTAGTAAAATATACAGGTTAATATATATATATATATATATATATATATATATATATATATATATATATAATGTTATCATTATTTTCAATTTAAATATTTTTATTTTTCCGGTGGCTCTACAGACCATGTAGATCTTTGGCTGTCTGAACCACCCTTCTCCACCTCTGCCTATCTTGGGCTACAGCTTTCCAGTTTGCAGCATGAAGCTCAGCTATATCTTTGTTTATTCTATCTATCCATATGATTTTTTGTCTCCCACGTGGTCTCTTGCCTACTACTCTGGCATTCATTGTTGTGTAAAGGCATCATGATGGATTGCTTCGAGCGACATGCCCTGCCCATCTTAACTTCTTTGCCTTCATATCATGAGATATTGACTGACCAGTTTCTTTTAGCAGTTCTTTATTGTTCCTTCTCCTCCATATGTTAAGATTCTAATCCCAGATAGGTCCTGTTATCGTTCAGAGAACTTTTCTTTCAAATCTCTCAATTCTGGCTTCTAGTGTGCCGGCTAGAGCCAAGATTTCACAACCATATAGCAAAACTGGCTTTATCACGACATTTTACACCCTTAGTTTGAGATTTCTGGAGATTTTTCTGGATTTCAGTACCCTTGAAAGGGAGAAGAAAGCTCTGTTTGCACTTGTTAGTCACTGGTCTATCTCTGTTAGTTGATCATTTATTGAGGTTAGTGTGGAGCTGAGGTATTTAAATCTGATATGATTGATAAATCATTTTAGTCTGATCAGTTCAAAAATGTATTCTCTTATTGTACTATTGTTGTGGAGTACGTTCATACATATATTTTATGCCAAAACAAAGTGTGTTATCAATTAAATAAAACTATGGACCTTAGGTAACCGGTTTTTTTATTAATTTATTTTTATAATAAGTGTATACATTGTTATATCGCTCCAATGTTTGCCGAGTTTTAATGTTTAATTTTTTTTAATAGGAATCAACATGAGAATATGTTAATCTTTTTACAAAAGGAGGTAGATATTTTAAATCAACTGTGGGATGAAGATTATGAAAATTGGAACCTACACTTGAAAAATTATGTTTTGTAAGTGATAATTACAACTGGTCAAGTATTTTTGAAAACAAATATGCCATATTTGTTTTTTATACTAAATCAAAAGAATTTTTGTTATTGTAACATTAATAAATTTTATTAACCTATTTTTATATGATTTAATAAGGCAATTTAGAATTTCAATTGCACCATATTTTTATTATTGTAAATTTTAATGTTTATTTCAATTAATTCTGCAAAATACTGAGTACTGCTTGTCTTAATACTTATAATGGTGATTACATAATAGATTATTACTTTGTTATAGCTTATTGGAACAAAACTTGAAGGAATCAAATAATGAAGAAAATATCAACCAAGTTATTAAAAGTGCCCTTTTGGATCCAGCAGTTTCAAATACTGATATAATCTATCTTCATAAAATAGCTCAAATAGAAGACCCTGTTTTTTCCATGGTTCTCAAATTGCTCAATCCCTCAAAGTAAGATCTATCAATCACCCATGAAGCTGTTTATCATTTATACATTAAAATTGTTATGTCTGGTATTCACTGATTTTTGTTTATGTTATTGTGCAGTCCAGAGGTTTTGGATAAATGGAAGAAACAGTTTTCTGATGATAGTGAAATGATAGAAAATAACAATAGCCATACATATCATGAAAACATTCCAGAAAAAGATAAAGTAGGCATAATTCATTTTATATATTAATTTTATTTTATATCACTTTTTGCAGTTTGAACTTGAGCAGGAGACAAGGGATTAATTTGGTTGCTTTCAAGAAATGAACCAGAAGGTTTAAAACTAAATTGATAGAAATTGTTATTTATGTCACAATAGAAGTAGATATTTACATTTAACCAATAAGGGAAATAGTCCAAGATAAGCAGAAATATAGCAAGCTGGTTAAGATTGAAAAAGACTAAAAGGCCTGTAAAGCCTACTAGGATCAAGAAATAAAAAAATATGAAATTGAAAAGACTTAAGTGTTTTGATCTTTTATTATTGAATTTAAAATAGCTGCAATCTAGGTTAAAATGAGGTTACATATTTAACCATACAGCTATCTTTTTTATCCAGAGGTGATTGTTTTCAAAAATTGTTTAATTAATGATGAGTATCAATTAACCAGTTAATGAAGTGCTTATCAAAATATTATTTATGTTTATTTTATAATTAATGCTTTCATAGAAACCACTGATACTAAAATTCAGTCAGTTAGATGTGACTCAATGGACTGACATCCTTGGTGTGAGCACTACCTAAGAGACAATATACAAATCAATTGGTTTAAATCTTGTATTCAAAGAGTCAATAGATGAATCTTTTTATTGGTAAATAATACATTTTGCCACACTTAAGGGCACTGAGTACTATAGCTGAGTGAGGCTCATTCATACACTATAGAAGAATCTAGAGTGAAAAGATCAAGGATGTAGGAATTTAATTTTTTGTTCTAATGACAAGAAGACAAAAAAGCCATTAAGAAAATATTCCTGTAGGAATATAGGATAAAGTTGCTTACATGAGAAATAACAGTGCCAGGGGAATCCGGAGATGAATATTATGTAACAATGAATAAGTTCTTTTGGTCTCATCTATAACCCAATAGATAAGCCTCTGTATACCAAGCAACCTTAGTCAAAATGAGAAAAAACAAGAAAAGATACTAGGCATTGTTGGGTATTTTAAAGAATGGAATTGTATAAGGACATCAATGGTTTTTTTTTTTTTGCAATTTGGAAAATATAGTTATCCCAGGAAAGTTACTTCAAAGGTGACCTTAACCATGATTTTTTTACAGTCGAGTAGAAATGAATAGGTGGATTATTGAGTTAAAGTAAGAGATTATAAGGAGACAAAATAAGGAAGTGCTTGAGCTTTGTTCTGAGCTCACCTTAATAGAACTTTCTTCAGGAATATCATTTGTGCTGTCTTTTTTTGAAATCCTTAACCTATTTCTATTCATCAATCCTCCTCTACATTTTCTTTTACATAATGTTTACTCTTATACCTCTTTCATTATCAAACCATCACAGTGCACCAAACTTATCTAAACTTCATGCATTTCTGTGATAACATTTGTATTTCTGTTGTACTAACAGAAATTGACATTTACCATTTTTTAAATATTTAACCAGACACATGTACAAAAAGTCTGAACAATGTATTTATTCTTAGGAGACTTAAGTCCTAGAATAATATTTTTTTCATACATTTAAATTTTAATCATTCATTCATCATTCCAGGATTTACCTTGCAGTTTGGATGATTATTGGATGGACACATTATTCAATGCATTTGAAGACCAATTTCCTCATGAAGTGTTAAGGGATGGCTTGAGTAGCATTCAGAACTGTTTATCATTTATTCCTCAATTGATTTTGAAAATATCAAATTTTAACCAAATAGTTATTATTCACAAATATTTACAAGGATTAAATGGATCAGTGTAAGATATTTTTCATGCTTTTGTATCAATTTTGTTTAGAAAAGCTTTGATGAGTTATGAAAAGTAATAGTAAAAGGGTTTTCGAAGTGTCTATTCATATTACACACCCCTTTAAAAATAAATAGATAAAACTATAAAATTTTCTATTAAAATCTATGAAGATATTAATTTCAGTAATAAGTGAGAAAGTAATATGACTATGATTATTTTGATGCATTCAGTTTTCACACTTGACTGCCAGGTTTTTCTCACTAATTGGGGTCTGCTATCTATACAATAAGTATGTCCCAGGAGTCTATCTATTCTTTCAGGAATAGATCCAGTACACTTATGTTTATTGAGGATGTCTGATTGTTTTTCTTGAAACTTATTTGTTGATAAATGTGGTGATTTATCATAGCAGTGCAGATCATCTGTTAAAAGGAGTGATTTGTTCCCTATTTGCGATATAGTGATCTAATTGACTTTTGATAGAATTACTTAGAGAGAATTAGTTAGTTAATATAATTTATATTACAAGTTACAATATTAATAATATTTAGTATTATTGTAATAACTATTAATATTCTATTTGTAACTGTGTTGTAATTATCATATGTTATCTTGAGATATTTATTTTCAGGGAGTATGATCAGTCATCTTTTGGAACAGCACTGTTGAAGTCTCTTTCAAATGTTGAATCTACTTTTAAATATGCCTTAGCTGAGGATATTTTGTCTTCAAATAATATGCCGATTGAAGTAAATATTTTTTTTTAAATAATTAAATATTATGAAAAATGATAATGTGAAGCATATTATCTAGCATATCTAGTTTTATGATAGTTGTTTTTTAAAATTTACTTTTACTTTTCCAGCCATTTGAAAATGATAAACTTAGTGGGGAGGGAATATAAATATATATATATTTCTATACCCATCCCTGTCTGCATTATGGGTTTTATTTGTTAATGAAATATTATCTATTTAATTATTTACAGGCTTGTCTATGGGTATGATATTTCCTTAAGGGGAGAGCTAATATTTATATTTATAATATGTATATATAAACTATATACATATACATATATATATATATATATATATATATATATATATATATATATATATATATATATATATATATATATATGCCGCCATCGTATCATCAAGCTCCTTTATCGTATATTAATATGAATTTAAAGTTGGATTTCATCAAAAGATGGGATCACATATGGGTGACCTCAGCTAAGTCACCAAGCTTATACAGATTTATACCACACATTTCAATTCACAATTACAGACACATTCACAGTAATGACTACAAACTTACGCAAGTACTTATGGAATATGGGAATACAAAACAATATATATATATATATATATATATATATATATATATATACAAACATAATTTATGAGATATTTTTTAATTAAATATAAACGTCGGATTTGGAAAATCCTACAATACTTTCTGATCAACCTTTTGTGAATATTTTCTTTAGACTAAAACAATTTGTAAGACACACATGTTCATATGGCCATGCTTAAATTAATTATTCAATTTTTAGGACATTAATGATATGATAAATGGTGATAAAACATTCAGTGACAAGTTATTTGTAAGTTGGTTGTGCTTTCATTATGATTCTTCTGATATTCATTCATTTGGCCGAAGTTTACTTGAGAATGAGGTATGGTATAGTGATTTTATTCAAATATGAATTATACTTTTTTTTTCAATGGAATAAATTATTCACTTTTGTGAAAAATAGGGTAAAACACATCTTATAATCTAGACATTATTCAAATTATTTATTTTTTATGTTGGAGATTGGTTACTTATAATTAAATGAATATTTTTTTTGCCCCATAAAAATGCAACTCCCACAGAAAAAAAAAATGATTGAAAATGCACTTTATAAAAAGAAAATGCTACATATTTTTTTTTCCTAACTTCCTATATCTCCTGAAAAGAAGTGTTTTTTTTATTCATTAGTTTATCATAGGACCAACGATTTTTTAAAAAATTGTTTATATGTAAATAAAACATGCCTATTTTAATAATATATGTTTTCAATTCAATGTTGCTGTGTTGTAATTTTCGGGCTGAAGTCCCAAAAATTGAGAAATAATTTATTTTTAATTGGTCCATATTTGTTTTGTGAGTAATTTAAGATAAAATCACCTTAAAAAAGCACATTGCAGTAGCACCTGATCACAACTGCTTTGTTAGGATATTGTTTCAATTATATTGATGTTTTACTGTGTAATTTATTAGCCTAAAGATAATTGAATGCTAGATTCCAGGCCAAATAGTCAGATGCTTCCTCATCTTATTACTGATTACATTTAATTCTGTTAAATTTCTAACATTTATTGTAAGCCTGTACTTAATCCTTCATGGTGTGGCTATTATGATTATCAGAATGATGCCATAAAACATTTTATTTTGATTTCATATGTATTTACTTATTATCACTTTCAATATACCTCTCCTCTATCTCCATGATACTTTGTACACATTTTCCCTATGTGTAAAACAGTCTTCTTCATTCAGCTCCTTTAGGAATTGTGCTATTTTCTCTTTCAACAAGATCATGAAATATAGTAATGTTGAATCCAATGAGGGTGCACAATCCTATAAATTAAAAAAAAAAATCATCATTGCTTTGAATTTTGATTTGCTCATTTGAGCTTTTTTGGCTTGCAGTGAAGTTGGGATCTTCCTCTGCATGGATTGGTCCCTCGTTTTAGGATCATAAATAAACAACCACAATTTGTGAATATTTATTTAAAGGAACAAGATTTGAGTAAATTGAAGCTGTGAAAGAGAAAGCAGCATGAATCTTGAAGGAGCGGACAGATGAAGACTTCCAGCACTGTTTCAGACAATGAAAGGTTTGTATGGACCATTGTGGGGATAGAGGAGGGGTTTATATTGAAGGTGATAGTAAGTAACTATGTATGAAATCCAAATAAAATGTTTTATAGCATCAGTCTCGTTATTTAATAGCCACACTTTGTATATCTATTCCTTTCAAATTGACATTACAATGACAAAAGGCCATGCTCCTTTGTCTTAAATACAATTAATAATACACAGATAACTGTTTTTTGTTTTTTTGCCCTAATCATAATTTCTAATTCAATTTATTTTTTCTAGGATGATCAAGTAGAAGATAAATTATTGTCACTTCCTCCAATAGTTCTTGGCAAAATGATTCCTTTTATTCTAGAAACAGATGTTTATCAAAGATTAATCGTGAAATATTATGATAAAGTAGCAGATGACATAGTGGAAAGCTGTGTAAAAGCTTTAGAAGAAAAGTGTATGAAATTTGAAGCGTCCACATTATCATTAATATTAAATCAAACTCCTAAGGGCTTAATAAGTTTTGATACTACATTTAGTTATTCGTCGTTATCATCGTGAAATTTTAAGAATCTGTTGAAAACAATTTTATTATCGAAGTCTATTAATTATATTGTAGTATTTATTTTGCTATAATTGTTATATGTATGTATTATATGTATTATTTGATATGGTAATCGAATTAATGTATTTATTTGTGGTTTTAGTTATTTTCTCATGTGTTTTTAAAAGTTTCATAATGAATTGTAAAATACCCTCGATTTATTTTTAGGAAACATTGTATTAAAAGACATTGTATTAAACTTGTTGAAAAAGCTTCAGTTTTTATTTTCAACCTTTGCATTAGAAATGGGTAGTATTCCAATATTTTTAAGTTTTGAGTACTTTTATAAGAGAAAAATACACAGTACTCTTAGTATTCGGTCTGTATTGAGTGAATACCGAAAGTACTCAGCATTAGTTATATATCAGTCAACTACAAAACTACTTGGTGGTTTATATAGTGGATCAAAAACGTATTGGCACACTTAACAGTTTTTAGGTTTCATTTTGAAAAAATCCAAAATTGATTTGTTAAACATTTTTATTTAATAAAAGTTTTTAGAAACATACATAATGGGGGGGAATTGGCATTTACTTAATTAAAACATTCAGTAAATAAAAAATCACTTCAACACGGTCAAAAAAGTATTGACACACTTTAATTTGAGGTTTATTTCACTAGCTGGATATGTATTAATATTTTGTCATCATACAATTGGCATCCATGATATCATAGAATCTTCTTGGCTTTGACAAAACAAGATTTTGAGTTACATCTTGTCCAACTTTACGCCATTCCTCTAACAAAGTTTCTTTGAAATAATTTTTTTAAGAAATTTAATTTTTGCTTACTTTCAAATACAACAGATACCATAAGTGTTCTATAACATTTATATCCACAATAGTGCTGTCGTTTTTAATTGGCTGGGAACATTGTATCATCCATTATTTTGTTTTAATTGGTGTGTGCGTGGTGTCATTATCCTGTTGGAATATAAAAGCGTTTTTGATCCTCAGTTTATTATTATCCATTATGTCTCATCCATTAGTAATTATGTCGACAAATGTCGAAATATTATTTGTATTCATAATATTATCAGTAATGATTAAGTTTACAACACGATATTATGAAATGCCCCCTAACTTGGACACTTCCAGCTCAATATCTTACAATGGGCCTCACATGTTGAACTTGAAACTCATTGTCAAGTTTCCAACAAACGTACTTGTGGCCATCAGAATGAAATATATTAAACTTACTTTTATCTGAAAAAATAACATTTTCCAAAATTCTAGGTCTTTATTAACTTAAGCTTTGACAAACTCAAGTTTTTTTTTTGTTTTTTTTGTGGTTCACCCATAAATTTAATGGTGTTTTCCTTTGGAACTTATCATAATAATAATATTTATGAATTATATTTCTATTATTTTATTAGAAGGTGGTATTTGAAATAGATGAGACCTCTTCTGCTTTCTCGGCAGCTGATAAAGTGCTATTTTGCTCAACAATTAGATGGATATTTCTTTGGATATTTCTTTAATTAAATTTTGGTGACCGTTCTGATCGAGGTTTGATTAAAACTTTCTAAACTTTTTTACAATATTCTGAACACTACTAAAAACAATTTCTAATTTATTCACTTGTCTGAGACAGATTGTAATATTTCTCAATAAAATGTTAAAAAAAAATAAATAAATAAAATAAAGTAATTGATTCGCTATTGGTCCGTAGCTAAGTTCATTAAAATGTAATTTGTAATGATGTGGTTTATAAACTGAAATGTTGATTGGTTTTACCCATTATTGTTTACTTTAAACATAGTTTTTGAATTACAAACATTCATTGCTTCTAAAATATAATTCTCATAGGCCACTTTGTTATATAAATATCATTTCTGGAATATATCTTATATCTGGAATATATCCTATTGTCGATACCAACTATTGTGGTTTACTGAGACATTGGAGTGTGCCAATACTTTTTTGATAAACTGAATCTTACTATAAAAGGTGCTCGGTCTAAATCCTCTGAGTGCTTTTCCCTTGTCCAACTATTCCATAATTATTATAAGGAATATTTTTTATTCAAAATTTCTTCTGTAAAATTGGAGTTATTCAAGACTTTTATAAAATGTTACAGTATAAATGATCCCAAAATGACATATGGTATTTAAACTTATATAATATTAAAAAATATATAAATTGTATTAATTATAATCATTATAAATTATGCAACATTTATAAAATTATAAACATTTATAAATTATTTAATATTTACAAACAATATAAATGATTCCAAAATGACATATAGTATTTAAGCTTACTAGATTTCTTTGCTATCAAGATGTATTAGTATGTTATCGTTAATAATAAATTATATAATAATATTGTTTGAAAATACAAAAGATTTTAAAATAAATCGATTGCATATTGATTTATTTAAACTGTAGTGGGCAGTTCATACATCCACTGCTGTGGTTCACATGCTCGGTACCTGGAACTGTCACATGTGTTTGCTCATCCATTGTATCTCCTCTCTTTCCATACAAGGTCTGGATGCTCATCAGTCCGCTTGTTCTACATACCAAGTTTGGAGACTCATGGTGGTATTTCTTCATCCCACAAAGTCTGGAGATTCATCTCTCTATTTGTGGTTGCCGTCCTGCGATGCAGTAGCGGATCCAGATATCTTCTGAAGGGGGGTGGGACTTGTGAATCATACATATTTAGTTATTATTATATAAGTGATCGTCAATCTGCTTCGTTTTGAAAGTTTTAAACATCAAACAATTGAATTACGTTAAGCTTAGGCTAGTGTCTTTTGGTATTATTGAACAATTGTTGTTAAGTTTTTATTTTGTAGAATATTGTAGGTTTTAGGACATTGTTTAAATTCTAGTCGATTCTGATGAGTCTCTATTCAGGTATTTTGCTGTCTTAACTTTCTGATTTTTACCACTTCTTCACATTCTTGATCAAATCAAGATGTGGGAGTAACTCTTCTTTCTCTCTTGCAACATTGATCAGCAGCTTCCTCTATTACTTCCTTATGTATGTCCCATTCTTCCTAAACATTCCTATCATCTTTACTTACTGGTATATTTTCTATCCCTGTCCCAATGCAGTTTTGGAAAATACATTTTAGCTACGCTACTAAACACTTATGTCAAATAAATCCTAAAAGTTAAAATAAATCGACCTGTGATTGCGCAGTCTTAAAATTGTTAGTATTTTCAAAAAAGTAATCAATTTACCTTAAAATCGACTGTATTTTTAAATACTACACACCGATAACCTAAAAATGGACCTTGATACCGAGGATATTGGAAAAGTTTAAATTAATTCAAAGGAAATAAATTTACTTTAAAATCGATAATATATATATTTTAAAACAATCCCCCCTTAGCTTAATAATAGACCTTAAAATTTAAAAAATTCGAAAAGTTGAAATAAATCAATACGCTATAGCGCAAATCTCAAAACCGATATTTTTGAAAACTAAGCCCTTCAATTAAATAATGCAAATACAAACAATTAATTTTGGGTACCCCACATACAACGTTACTAGGTAAATACAAAATAACGATATTCAAAACTTTCATAAAGGGCCCCCTTCCATCCCCAAGATATTTTATTGTTGTACTCTTCTTATAAACATTAGAAATAAAAGTTCCATAAATCATATACAATTACACTTGAAGAGGTATGTTTCATATATTCATTCTCTTTGTCTTCTTGTTTAAAACATTTCAATCCGAAAATTCATAACTCCGTCGAAATGTGCCCCCTAAAAAATTCAAAATCCCGTCAAATTGTGCTCCCCTCAACAATTGTGATGGTGCAACTTGCTCCATGAAACCCCCTTCTGGGCACCTCTGCCCCTAACCATTCTATGGAGTTAAAAAAGTGCAAGTACAAAACATTATGTTGGGGCCGTCAGAGAGGTCCTAATATTTGCGGAAATAAACAAATACTAAACAATTATTATTTTTGGGGTACTAGAAAAATATAGAACAATGATTAGTAAAGATGAATGATGAGTAAACTGTGATTTTGAGGTGGTATGGATGAACATATACGATTGGATTATCTTAACTCAACTAAAAGGTTCATGGAGAAAGTAAAAGAATAAGACTCTTAAATGGATTCTTGGATAGTTTCTAAAGTACTGGCTAAATTTGGATATAGTGTTTTAGATAATAAGAGTATGGATAAAAGATTAATAATTCGAGTTTTAAAAATATATTTTTTTTAAGTTCATATTCATTAATAAATATGTTTTTAAATGCATGTTCTTCCTTTTTTATTTGATTTATGTATTGTTGACTTGCTAGAACTTAATATGGTGGTTTTTTATTTTTACTCTCTTTTTCTTTCTTGCCTTGCTACTGTATTAAAATTTTTATTTATTTAAGATTAAATTGTTCAGAACTTAATAATAAGTATGCTGTTCAATACAGTTATTCAGAAACAATAGGATAATTTATTTGTTGTATATCTTTTTGATGGTTCCCTGGTTGATTCCTACTTAAATTGTACATTGCTATTTTTTTTTATTGTTGGTCCAAGACTTGCATTGAAGTCCTGTATTGCCTTTAAAGGATCCTACACACAGAACGCAATATGTTTCAGCGCACAGTGGGACGAGTAAGGGAAAACTCGCGATATCGGCTAAATCTTTTTTTTTTTTTTTTAGAACTCCAAAACCTAGATAAACTGTTTTATTGATACCTTGTGAAATTCTGTGTGTTTCTGAGAATATTTTCAGTTGGCAGAATATAAAATTTTTATTGAATACTTAATAATAATAATTCAATTCTAAGTGAAACTCCTTCCTGAACACACCTCCCTGAAGAAGACCTGTAAAGTCGGATAGAAATGTGGGCTTTTAATAAAATAGTTTTGCCACTATTAAGTCTATTTATGACCACCACCCTGGACCATCTCCTTTCTTAATATTTTTTTTATTGAATTGTTCAATTGAAAAAAAAAAACAGTAGATTTAGCCGATGTCGTGA